GTACAAGGATTCATAAAGGAGTTTAGTTTCGTTATTATTTTGCATGAATGTACCTAATATATGGTGTGTTTGATAATTATTCTTCAAGATCTTCCTACGAGAATCAGAACGTGCTAAGTTACAAGATGCATTACATGCTGTGGTTTTGAAACATATTGTAGTCATCCAGTGGTGGATTCGCGGAGTGCTTCAACGACGCCGATATCTTAGAGCGAAGCAAGGGATAATAACATTCCAAGTAAGATTTTGTAAAATTTAAACATATTATATAGCAAAAAGTTCCCAAAAGTACAACGAAAAATAAAATTATTCTAGAGTAGGGGTTTTTTACGCTGTGGCTAGAGATACTGTACCGTATTTCTACTTCAATTTGCTAAAGGTACGGTAAATGGCATTACGTCACCATCACCCAATAAAGCCAGAATGTGTGTGATGTCATCTTTAAAGACTGGCATTGTAGTTCACCCACGATGAGAGATGACATGCGAACGATGTACTGGGTATTTAGAATATTAGAAAGTACAGTACTGTAGGTTTACTTAGTATTGCCATCGATAAATAGGTGTATGGTTTCATTCAGTAAGAGTCCTGTCATTTATCTATATATGGCCATTTTCAAATAAGGACTGAATCCTGTACCAAACTCTGTATATGCCACTAGGCCCTGCTTAAATTCTTCGCTTGGTGAGGAACCTAAGAAAGACCTAGGCCTCGCTTGGGTTTTTCATTTGGTGGCGGCCCTGCTGTAGTGACAGATCTATCTGGTGGCATGTATCAGTTATAAACGAATACAAAATCTCATCCCAAGTTTAGTCCAAGAAGCCTAGGTTATAATATATTCGAAATTACCACGCTTTACAATCCGACCAACATATTCATACACTTTGAATGCACATGCCTAACTGATACCTCCTTGATTTACCCAACTTTATGTAGACTTCGTCGCTGTTATGGTACTTCCCCCAATCATAAACATTGCTCGTTTGGCCAGAATTCAGATCGAGAGAATGAGTTTCCACAATCGTGATTATTTGTATCAAATTTGTCGCATATACATTTGATGCAGGCCTATTTAAACATTAAAGTGCTAATACTCCATTAAGAATCCTCTTATTTACAGTTTACAGTATATTCAGTTTTTTAATGCATGTGTTGTCATGTAAATAGATTAGACCAAAGACTGAGTAGTATGTCAAATCTCTTATAAGCGAAGGCAAGCAAGCTGGCCTGGGGATTCATGCCTTCATTGATATGGCTATAAACGACATGACTGTCACTCTTATTACTGAGTGGAACCTTTACGCCTATCGATGACAGTATTATAAGAAAATACTGTACTCTTTCCTAGCATATTATGTGCTAAAAACATTATTCGCTAGTCATGTGGTGTGGGCGATCTGCAATGCTGGTCTTGAAAGATGATGTAACACACATTCTGGCTCTTTATTGGGTGATGGTGATGTAATGCCATTTACTGTAGGCTACCTTTAGCAAATTGAAGTAGAAATACGGTACCGTATATCTAGCCACGGTGTTTTTTTTTTTTTAGCAGTGAGAAGCTCACTTGATGTTTAAAAAAACAACTCTTCAAATATTATAAAATATATTTTGATACCTTAAACAGATTCTAGACCTGGTGTTACCATAGTTCCAACCAATATGCACTATTTACGCATTTTATAACCATTTAGTTAATTAAAAGAGGAAGCATTTGTCAATAAATAGTTTAGGTGTGTACATAGTGTGTTTTTCAGTGAGAATCACTCTGTGATGTTATCAGGCATTATGGCATTCAATTCCACTTTTACGCCAATGATCTTCAACTTTGTCACTTTTGACCCCAGCAATGCTAGCAGCACTGTCTCCACTTTACAGACCTTATCCCTCTGTGTTGTTGATATTCAGCAGTGGTTGTTGGGCAACAAACTGAAGCAGAACAAAAAGAAGACTGAGTTTTTGGTTTGTGCCTCTAAGAGTCATCTTTCCTTAGATCATGTTAAAGGTTTAAGCCTGTTGATAGGGGACACCATTATTCATCCTTCCGGAAGTGTCCGCACTCTTGGAGTGACTATTGACTCGTCAGCAGGTCTCAGCCTACAAGTATCTAATGTTAACAGGGCTGTTAAGTTCCAAATAAGAAACTTATGGAGAATCAGGAAGTTCATAGATAGGGATACCCGCTATGATGCTGTGAGGGCACTGGTTCTTTCAAGACTGGACTACTGCAATTCATTGTACAGTGACCTGTTAAAAAAAGATTTATACACCCTGCAAAAACTTCAAAATTCTGCAGTTAGACTCATTTCATATTTCTTTTTTAGAATTAAATTCAAACTTCTCTTTGTTTTCAAATCACTTTCTGGCGTCTGCCCTTTGTACATATCCAATTACATATCACTACGTACCCATGTGCGCTTAACAATATCTTCCAACTCCATCCAACTTGTTGAACCAGTCTACCATAAACATATTGGTGACAATTCATTCCCTTCAATTGCTGCCCAACTTTGGAATGGTCTGCCTAATTCTCTCAGATCTTGTGATTCGCTTAGGCAGTTCAAAGCACATCTAAAAACACACCTTTTTCAGTTCCTCACACCTCGCTTGATCATTTTTGTTTATTGTATTCTTATTTTTGTACTGCTTTATTGTATTAGTTAAGTTAGCTCACATGTGTTTGGTTTTATGCAAGCTTTACTTACAGCGCTTCGTAACTGAAAAGAAAGGCGCTATACAAGTAACAAGTAACAAGAATCAATTATGAATTAAGAATATAGTGTACTGTCATATTACCCACGTAACATACAATCAAGGCTAGGCCTAAATTTTTTTCTATAAATTATAGTTTAGGCCTCCTCATATTTTCAAGCTCGAGGCATACATTTTTTGTAGACCTATAGACCCAAGCCTATTGAAATCATCTTCTATGTCAGCTCACAATAACAACCTAACAAGTTAGACATACAAATGTGCAGAAAATTACTGGCTTTCTTATCGGATAATGATTTGTGGATTTTTAATTGCCAATTTTATATATTTGTAATTTTATATTCAGTCTCTCAATTCAGCACATGCTGTTTTTTATGTGAGTTTTTTTGCAGTAAGTATACCCAAATATATATATATATATATATATGTATACAACCTGTTAAAGTGAAACTTATTGTTGCCACTCTGTGGTCACTTCACCCATTCAAATGTATGTGCAGCCTGGCATTGGCTGTATATACTAAGAGCCTATTAACAATTACTGTACAATAGTGGTCTGGTTTTTGCATTTCTGTGAAAGTGGTACTGTAATGTTTCACATAGGCCTATATGGCATTATAGCAAGCTCCTATATTATTCTGTTGCAGAATTTTGTTCATGTTTTTTGACACAAGTATACAGTTTGTTTCAATATAATTTTGTTTGTTTATTAGGCTCTTTACCGTGGTTATAAACAACGTCAGGTCTACCAAGTTATCAAGGAGCAAGCGGTGCGTGAGAGTGCTGCTGCCTATTTACAAGGGTCATGGAGGGCCTACAAGCACAAGGTGCTGTATAACAAACTGAAACGTGGTGTTCTATGGATACAGTGCTACATCAGGGGAAACAAAGCTAGGCGAAAGTAAGGAAGGTTAAAATAATTATTATTCTATTCCTTTCACATCCAACAGCTAGTACACTTTCCAGTGACAGAATTAACAATCTGATGCTTTAAAAAGAAGTTTAGTTATGAGACTAATGTCCTGTTTGAGTTGGACTTTTTTGGTCAAACTAACCATAAACATGGCCAGTTTGAAAAAAAAAAATATCTGGTGCAAAGATCCTGCGTAGCATTCTGCTTGATCAGATTACTCAATCCCGAAGGTAAGTTTAACCAAGTGAACATTGCCCAGGAAAAATAATCAAGCTGTTTTTCCTTCATTCAGTTTTTCATATTGTATGCACCTATCAAGTTATGTTCTGATAGGAACCTATAATTTGGGCAAATGTCAGAAAGTTCTTAAAGAATTTCATCTGGTTCCATAAGTATATTAGAAATCATAGTAAATTAGAATCGTGTTGGTGCACTTACTCCCCGAACTGTGAATGATCCAATTCAATTAAAGGCTCATTAGTCTGAAAAAAGTGGCCGAAGCAGTTACTGAAACCATTGCTAAGGTAAGCAAGCAATTGGTTCAACTAAATAGATAATCTTTTTTAAGATGTCATATGCTTACAACTTGCGAGTAATAATATTTAAATATATTTGTGTTTCTCTATACATGGAGGAGTTAGTATGCTCTATACATCTCAAGTGTAAGATTTGGTGGGTGGTGGAATAAGGAAGGCGAGATTGGAAGCTAATGTCTAAACAAAATTGTGCTTACGTAAACTTTATTATTAAATGAATGTATGTAATTTCTGTTGTTATGGGTATTTTACAAGCCTCTTAAACCATTAAATTGAACAATAACATTATTAGTAACATCTTTTATGTATGAAAGTTCAGAAAGTGATTCAAATACAATTTTATATCAAGGTTGGAAGCATTGTTGGATGAGAGAGAACGACTGCTTGATGAAGAAGAAAGACAGGAAGAGGAAAGACGAATAATGCTTGAGAAAGAAAAGGAAAACAGGGAGATACAGATAATTCAGGATGCAAATGTTTCTAAAGCTGAAAGTGAAGATGAGCATTCTATCAGGAGTGACGAGGGCGTACATGTAGATGGAGAGGAAGACTACGATCCCCGATGTAGAACCAGGACCACTGAATCAGAAGGGTAGGTTTAAAGCGGCATACCTGTACTTCAGTCGGCTAAACTGGTGGTAGCCACTTGTGTGCGCTCAACTATGGAGATCCATTGTTACCTTCAGTGTCTGGTTCACTTCCATTCACTACTCTCTTTTTGTTTCAGCTTGACATCTAGAATGCAAGTATAAAAAAACACCATCTATCGTATGTGCTGTTTGCAAAATGGCTCATGTGTATGTTAAAAAATGCAGTGTACTTTTGGAAAAGAGTAGGGGATTATAAACTAGGGTGCTGCCCAGTTACAACCAGAAAGACCCCACTGAAAATAAGTCTGTAGACTTTTGTGGTATATTTTTGGAGTTCATACCAAATAAATCCAAAAAATCCAGCAAACTGCAGTATTATACAGAAATTATTTATCATTTTTTAACTTCCAAAACTTGTTTTAAAAAAATTTATTTGAATTGTTATTTTCAGAAGCAGTGGTATTCTGGATGCATCATCAGGCTCTGATGAGAATCTTCTGGATGACTCATCATACCGAAACATACCTCCCCCAACGAAAAATGTGCCATCTCCTTCGCAATCTGAGAGCACACTGACATCTTCTCCGACGACTATCTCACTGGAGGAAATTGATGACTGCAGGTCAGGTGCTGATCCACTTAAGCCTCTTCCAAGGTATGTATCTACTGCCCTCTATAGTTTTTTTAATGGAATATTGAAATAATGAAACAGTTGAAACAGACATTGAGAAAAAAACAACAATAATATTTAATGCTACTTGAGTATAAGTTATTTTAGTATTGTTATTTAATTACTTTTCAGATTTATCTAATTTTTTTTTAGTACAATATTTGATTTCATATCAAAATAGCAATTAAAATTACTTAATCTATATTTGTTTATAAATTATATACATTAATAGTCAAATTAATAGATTAAATGAGTTATGTATATGTTATATTGTGTGATGTAATGATGTTTTGGAGGGTTTTTTTACGCCAATCCATAGATACATAACCTAACTGAAACTTTAAAAACAATGCAAAATGATTACTCCAATATGTTATTTTAATACACTTTGATAATATCCTATATGAGACTGGATTTAACATAGCCACCAACAGTTGTAAAATAAGTAAAAAGTGATATATATTGAAATGCATCTGTATTCCTTCTTTGTAGCATTATGGAACAGTATGAAAAGTACAAATGCAATGTATCAAGCAAGCTACATATTAATCATGAAATAACATTTTAAACATAATTGAACAACTATTGTTCAGGATTAGTATGATTTGCCAACAGCAATGTCAACAGCTTCAGGGGAAAATTATGGGCTGCTTAAGGCTTTCTCCACATTGTATGGCAAATACCTGTGATTTGCTTTTGGGTATTATAATAATATGATATCGTCGGGGCCATATCATTTTGTCTTCTAATACGTAATAGTGTGGACAGTCAACTTTATAAATTTTTGTCTTGTTGGTTGTCACTTTCGATAAAAACAGTGTGGTGTCTTTCGGTTTCCATGGCACTGTGAATTTGTAGGTCAATGGGATGGGATCGTCCCCTGCAAACCACTTTTAATTATCTTTTAGCTCATCAGTTTACTTTGTGGGATTCTCTTCCTGCTCAGTGTCAATTTCCTGGGCTGGACTACTCAGTTTAAAGGCAGTGTCTAGGATTTACATTTCTTTACTGCTAGTATTATTTTATGGCATATAATTACATGTCAGTGTAAAAATGGAATATGAAAGAAAATATGGTACACACGTTGATGGTGTTTTTTTTCTCTCATTGAAGTTGAAATACTAGAAAAAGAACAAATGGGGGGAAAAATATAAAGATGATCAAGGATTGACTATTTGGGCGCATTAATGTCAAACTATGGCTAAAAGAATTTCCTAATTAATAGTAAAGTAATAATTCATTCAGGAAAAAGAAAAGAAAAGCAGTTTTCATCAACATTTTAATGAATCAAAATATAATAATGCATTAATAATAACCAATGCAAGGTTATTAGTATGTAAAACATTAATCATACATCAGGTCATTGATTTAAGTACATTTAGCAACAAATGTTCTAAAAAAATCTTATTAGTGGTCTATAATTTAATAATTTAGAACATACATTTTTAATTTCAGTTGAATGTGCCAAAAAATTGCATTAAAGAGACTCTAAAGAGAAAAGTAAACTCTAATATTGTATTTACGATAAGGCAAAGTTAATATTACATAAAACGTTAATTTTACATGTCTTAGATGTGATATAAATTTAGCCATAAATTTATTAGTGTAGGAACATATTTCCATTTATATACATTTGATTAATTAGTTTAAAATCAGTAAAGCAATAGTTTTTTTCAAGAAAAAGAAAACAATTAATAAAGTATAAACATCAGCAGTTAAAAAACAAAAAAAGAATCAAATAAAATCTAATGTTACATTATAGATCAAAATACATATAAATAAAAATAAATAAATACATATTCTGAAAGAGAGTTGAATAGACATTTAATTATCAACATGATATATGTGATTATTTGATCAGATTTAGAAAATTTATTTAAAAAATCATTTGATCCCTCTATTGTGCTGTGGTTTTTGTGGTGTATCACATGATAACTGAAAGCAGACTGTTATCTCATTCACGTCCAATTGGCTGACTTTCATTACATCATTGTGTAAATTGATATTTCTGGATGTGCGCTCAAGCATTACTTGTACTCTAAAATAAGGATATCATTTGGAAAGAAAGCAGTACAGTGCACAAGTCTGACATATGCCTCTCACAATGATGTAGTGGATTTGGGGAATCTGTATAGACTAAAGCAACGATAAAATGGGGATTGTTGTTGATTATTCATTAAATGTTCTCCAACATGGCTTAAAGAGTGTAATAGGCCTATCCTGGGCCATTGTAATTATACTTCTGTTGGGAAATATATATGATATTTTTGTACATGGAGTTCACTTTGATCGTCATCTTAGACACGTTATATTAATTCTTTCAAACAGAGTGAAGGACATAACAGCGGCATATGTCGAAGGACTACAACGTAAAAAATCAGAAGTGATATCAGATTCAAAATACCAGTTAAACTCTGGAAATGTTGTTAGCAGGATCAAAGAGGAGTTGGCTGGACTAGTCCAAAGCAAAGCAGATGAGTCTTCCAGTGAGGAGGGAACTCGAGTTAGAGAGGCCAAAAGACTTGCTGAGATGCGCGTTGAAGGGAAAAAATTGCAAGCTAAAGAAAAAGATGAAGTTGTTTCAGAAAAGGACTCTCAAAATAAAGAGGAAAAATTAATTACAGAATTACGAGTTGAGAGAAGGAAACTACCGTACAAAGATGACTGGAGGAGGTCAGAATTTTTTGAAGAAAAACGAAAGCAAGAACTAAGAGAAGAAAGAAAGAAAAATGAAATTGAAGAGAGAAGAAAATCTGCGATAAGGGAGGAGTGGTCAAGACCAGATATGATCATGGAACCTAAACAACTGGAAGTCAGGCCTGGTCACACAGGTGGTGAATCAGATTTTAAGGCAAAGATACGACTTGAGCGGAGAAAATCAGACTCTGGAGAAAAACGATTGAACATTGGTGTCCAAGTTGAAAGAAGTAAATCTGATTCCAGACATCTGGATAGAAAGTTACAATTAGAGCCGATTAAGAAGGAAAAGGAGAAGAACAAAGAAAACATTACACCGACAACAAAACCAAAGGTTAGTGAACGTACATTTCCATAATCATTTTCATCAGTTTTACGAGTCTACAAAACATATTCTTTTCGGTGACCTTCTCCCATACACCAAGAAGAATACACAGTAAAATGATGATTTTTGTCATTTATTTTTTCATAAATGGTACATAGGCCTCAGCTCCCATAAAGTGAATGGTTTGTACTCTTGTTCCTCTAATAGATTCTATTCAGGTACTAGTTCCTACTGTATTCCATTATGAATCGCCACTCCCTCAATTATGATTTTACCATGACTGAAACTCCAAAAGCCAGTGGGCTCAATTTACTAATTATTAATAAGTGCGATTGTTAATCTAAAATAAACAAAAATTGAATTTACTTAATTATTGTGTGATTGTATATACATTATCAAGATACGAGTAATTACAGAACTTGCATTGTTTTATAACAAAAGGTAACAGCTTCCATGATAATATAGCAAGCTAGCAAGATATTGTATATATCAAATTCCTATACAGAAATATTTTTGTCAAGCGTTTCGAAGTTGGTTCAACCACTGAGGTTTTATTGAAAAAAGCTTCGCGCATGCAGCTCTATGCAAATGAACCAAGATCAGATCTGCCGCAGCGCGTGAAGAACGTTCGTGTGATGCCTTTGAAATCTAATGTGTTTGATCCCGCCACCAGCTGCTGAGCATGCTTTGCTTGCCAAGAAATAGAACATGGCGAAATGGAGAGCACCTTCTTTTCTCAATGCACACTCCTTGCAGTCAATAACTGTGGATGCGCAGTCATTTCCAGCTTAAAGCTAATACATTTATCTTTTAAAAAATACCAAACATATTAATATTTTCTATGAAAAAGATTTCTGAATTTAATGAAAAATTTACATGAGCTTTAAAAGTATCATATCTTTCAACTTGAATTTCCATAACTTGGATAAAACTCGGTAATTCTAATTTTAACAGATATTAATTGAGGAATGATTGAGGATTATAATAAACTAAGTCATTTTAGTGTGAACAAGGGTGGACTATTTGAAAATTCAATCCAAAATCAGTAATTTTCAGTTTTATGCTGCCTCAGCTTTATAGTCAAACCAGTCAATCTTTAGACAAAGTTACAATGAACACAGAATTAATTCAAGAACAATGGAAAAAGAAGCTCAAATAAAGCAAAGCTTTTAAGCTGAAACCCTTGTAAAAGAATTAATACATATAATAAAGAAAGGAAACCAATATCGCCAGCATACGTCCTAAAGCACAGTCTGCATATGTTCAAGCCATACTTTCGGAAAAGACCATGCCTATTGCCACATACTGTACACGGCAAGCCTGTTGTTTCCAAGATGTTGGTAACGAAAAAAATGGTAATAATATTCACGTCTGCGCGCGATCCAAAGGCAGCGAACACATTAGTTTGTCGCGTCAAAGGGCTCTGTTGCCGAGTGATGTCCTTCTCAATAATACCTCCATGGTTCAACGGAAGGCGCTATACAAATTGCAAATTGTTATTATATTCTAAAATTATTGAAAGAAGCAATGTAGTACTACATAATGCTATAATACAATACAGTATTAAATAAGTAATATATATATATATATATATATATATTTCATTTGTGTTCCATGTGTGTTCGACAGAATGTGGTAAAAATGAAACAGCTTCAATAGTAGACTTTAAGAACACTGATTTATTAGAAACTCGGATATTTCTGCCACTCCTGTGGCCTTCATCAGATTCTCGCGAATGAAGACCACAGAAGTGGCAGAAATATCCGAGTTTCTAATAAATCAGTGTTCTTAAAG